TAAATCGGTTTCTTCCATAATTTACCATACAAAATATGGAACTTCTACTACCATCATGTGACACAAACCCACATCATCAGCAATTCAGCATTACTTGTTTGAGCTCATATAACTACAAAAGACACCACCCCTCCCCCTTTGAGTTGTGTGGAAATCTTATCTTCTTTTTGGCTATACAAAATTAAACAAAGGTCATGATGATAACGTAATTCATCAGTTTCAAATAAAGCTTAAAATACATCCATGGAAAATGCATTATTAATTATCATGCCACTAATTATTAACTATATATAATATCTCCCCTTTAAACAAAAACAAAAAAAAAAAACGAACAAATGATTTCGGCCAGACCAAAATTAGATTCCCCTCAATCTTCGCATGTTGATTCAATAATTGTTTTCAAACTAACAAAAATTGGAGTTAAATGTTCAAACTCAACGGTCGTCAAATACTTAACGGGTCATCAATCTGTTGAAGATGGATGCAATGTACCCGCTTTTGTTTACCCTTTGAGCAGAATTAGCGCTCGATTATGGTCATTGCCAAGCCGACTATGCATGGCGGCAGGTCCTGGTTTTGAATTCCTTTGGAAGAAAATCGAGGGAGGCGGTCAAAAGAAAGGGCCACCTAATATCTCAATTAGCAGCCCTCGAAATCAGAGTAACCATTGCTTTAGGCATAAAACAGCCTGATTAACGTTATGATGAGGTCATATATTTTGGCGACTTAGGTTGGTCAATTCAATCTTTCCAGTAGTGGCGGATCCAGGGGTGGCCAACTCAGGTGCTTGCCCTCCTCTGGATCTGAAGTTAGTATAGTCCTTATGAATTTTTCAAATTTGGATATTTAGTTCAGTGTTATTTTATAGTTAGATTGTGTATAATTAGAAAAATGATTAAGATGGACATATTTAAATTACTACTCTAAATTTAGCCTATAAATTTTAGCTCCAAAGATTTTCGTCTAAACAAAAACAACGAAATCTAAAATTATAAAAGTCTAAAGCATAAAAGACAAAGAAATATGAGGTATGCTCTCTTGAAAATTTACTAGTGCAGCTGGTGGATATAGGGATGGACACACAATGTAAATTGATTAGTCGTATGATTTGTCTAGTGTTGACGCTTCCAGTTTAAACATCTACTACGGAGAGAACATTTTCAACAATGAAACAAGTACAAACTGATTTGCGCAACAAAATGAGCGATGAATTCTCGCTCATTGCTCAAGTATCTTATTTGAAGCAGAGTATACTATTGGGATGGATGCAGACTCCATTGTTGATGCATTCGCTAAATTATTTTTTTACGGTATCTAATTTTCTAATAAAATGCGGCCCAGTGTTCTACTGTGTTATAGATCCTCCGCTGGATCTTTCAACCCTTCGTTTCTTACTAGGATCGTATAAGTTGGCCTACCATTCTAAGAACGAGAGTCTATTTGTAGTTATCGATTAGTGGGGTAGCGTGCACGAATCATCGGTTTTTATGGATTCGTCAAGTATTCATGAAATCAAATCTGGATCATAGCTTAATTGGTAAAAAAGGAAATGAAAGTATAGATTAACTTATAACAGTACGAGAATATATGGTTATGATAACTAGATATTTACAAGGAAACAACATAACTCGAATGCACTACTATTGAATTACTCTAGTAGTATCGATGACTGACTACAAGTCCATCGTTGGTAATTAATTTTTGATTAGAGTGAAATAGGCCGACTTTTATAATTAAATGTTATTAAAGTAATTCGAATCCGAGACATCCAGATTATTATTAGTTGTTATCATTCTTCCACTAAATACAAGCTATAGTTTTACATCTTTTCTTACCAAGAAATGGTTATATTGAGATGATTAAGAAGTTAATAAATCTGCAAATCGAACGGAATTGAATATTATGCCACCAAAAGAGAGGAAAATGGGTATTGGATATATGAATGTTCCCCCAAAAAAACGAATCATTCTTCCATAACAAATCCTATCATCACTTCTAGAATTCGAATTCGAATATTGGCATATGGGAGAGTCGCTAGCCCTAATTATGAGGCGAGGAAAGGACAAAAACAGTTTGATTAACTTATTTGTCTAATAATGCATTATATGGCATTTTGGTATTTGCCATATATCATGAGGCTGGTGAAAATCCATGGCAATGCGCATCGTCATCCAAAACCATTTGTGCTAAAGCTAGCTAGCTTCCCCTCCAACTTGTTTTTCTGACACGACAAGCTAATTAAATCCTTAATGTTGTACTACTACAATTAACTACAATTCTTATGAATGTTGATATCACCTAATGTATGTTGAAATTGTTGGATCGCCCCACGTACAGATAACACGATTTACAACAGTCGTAACTATATGAAGGCATATGATCCAACAAAGTCCACACCCATTCATTTTTTACTGTAGAGAAAACCGGTCATGTAAAAAGAAAGTAACACGAGTGAAATATGCAACTACATGTAAGTATTTTTTTTTTTTTTTGGCAGATGACACTAAAAACCAGTCTGAAGCCCCAAAATAAATGTTCAATTATTCCATTTCAACCAGTGGGCACATGCATGATATTTAAGCCTTTACAAAATTAACTCTGGTGAATTCATTACACATGTAAATGTAGCTAGCAGCTAATGAATGATCAATTAACACTGCATTGCATATGTTCAGGATATCTGACACCAATTAATCTATCTAGCTAGCTAGCTAGTGTCTCGATCCCACATCCTCCCTTCAATGTCCTCATCAACGGCATATATGGTAGAAGGTAAAAAGCTGCTGGCTCGTTTGATAGTTGGTGTAACCTTAAATTAGCAATTGGTGCTGCTTTTTTTTTTCTAGATGAAATTATGTACCTTCAATGCACAAAAGCAAAGGCCACAGGCAAAGATATCTAGTAGCATAGCTGGTTTCTGGTGTCACCAGACTAAAACTACTGTTTGTTATGTTTTCCCTTCACTTCTGCTGGAGTTGAAACCCCTCAACATTGATAACAAAATACATCATGCAAAGCATAACGAGTTCGTGAAATATACGTGTTAATTAACGAGGATTTACGGATAATCAAAAGAATAATTTACTACTTGTTAATTAACGGAGGAGTTTTTAATTTTGCTCGAGGGAAGTGGAACGAGTAAGTTTCAAGGAAAGAGAAACTTTTCTAAGTGGATTTTCCTCCCTGACTAGGGCTAACCATTACGAAATGACACTATGAAAGACGAGATTCTATTTTGTATCTTAAACTCAACAACGGTATAACGTAGAGAAGATCGGACACATACCTTGTGGGTGATGACACACTTTAACATGTTAGTCACATAAATCTCGTATCGTGGAGAGACGTTCAAAATGAATATTATATCTAATTGATCTTGTAGTTAGTCATAGCTCGTCATTAACATTATCCTTATTTCAGTTGTTGATATATGGGGTATAAAATTAGATTGACCCGGTAGTTAGCTTGCAGGAAAATTGAGGTTCAGAATTGGTTCCTTTTTGCTCTTCCCTCAAAATGTATTTGGGAATGGTCCCAATTGAACACATTGATAACGGATATTTTCTTTACATGATGTATATTTACTCCGACCCTACTTATTAAGCACGTATTTGTGTTATATTTTAGGAAAATTTTTAATCTATTGCACGCACGAATTGTTATAAAGAGTAATTATAACGTCCTTTGATACATCTCAGAAGCCAATTCAACTCAACAAAACAAAGTTCAGGAGAGACTAAACAAATGAACATTTCCTGACATGCATGCACCAACCAAATTGTTACCAAGAAGAATACTATGTATACTAGTGCAGTAAGGCCGCATGAGAATGTTATATATAAAAGCTGCAAAATGTACAAAAGTGGGTGATTAGGGCTCTAGGTTTGCAGGCCTATATATTTTGCTGGGCTAGCTACCACACTTTACTTTCGACTCAATCAATTAAGATCCAAGCTACATCAACTTTGTGCTCTCTGTCTACCCACGTCCTCAATCCGGGGCTTCAACTCCAAACCGTTAATTTCAATGGCCAGCAAATTAAAACCAGCAGCAGAAACACATATGCCATATATGCGTACGGTCAGGAAAGGAGCCATAAATCGGTGGTAGATTTATAGTTTACCCTAGACGTCTGGGCATCTTCAAAATGTCGCCCAAAAACTTTTACCATAAATATATGGGAAGATCTATGTTTGTGTTTCTGTTTTTCACCTGTAGAGAAAAAAACTGTATCACTGACCCTTCTGCAGGGTTTTCTTTTTCTCCCATCCCTACTCTTGCCTTGTTTTCCCACTATGTAAGAAGTTAACTTCCACAAGTTTCTCTCTTTCTTGGTCTACTACTACATGTATACGCAAATCCTGGCAATCATGCCATGCACAACTTGACAGAGCGACATTGCTGCAACAAGTACTCTACACATCAACCACTGCACCTATCTGCAGTAGCATCCATCTAGTAGAGGCTGCTGCAGTACCTCGAAGAGGATTAGGGAATCAAACACATTCATCTGAGCATAAACGGTTTGACTTAGTGCTGATGGAAATGTTGCAACGGAACGGGAAATCGACAATACAAGAAAGTAAAGAGTACATAGATTTATGTGTGGTTCACTAACACGATGTGTGTTAACTAAGTTATGAGCAGGAGAGACCAATTTCACTGTATTTGAGGAGATACGGATTGCATCGTGTATGTAACACCTTCACAAACGGACTAATCCTGATCCAACCCAACCTGGAGAGAAGAAATGTTACCGAGACCAGAACAGGAAACAGTAACACAAATATGTATAAGCTCATACATTATAGACTTTCATTTGATGACAGATAATCCGTTCAAAGTCATAGCAACACGAATCAATATGGCCAAGGCACACATATGAACCCTAATGGGATGTGATGGTGCAGGCAAGATTTGGAATGCAGATGACAAAGACACCAAAAAACTGATCATCACATCATCATGAGTACTACTTGACAATCAATCATAAACCAAGAGGCAAATTTGTCGTCAATTGATCATTAAGGAGCAGCTAGCTAGCTTGCTAGCTAGATCCCCCCCCCCCTAGGGACAAACAATATGTGATCACTCTGAAAATTACCAAAGGGGAAGAAAACTAAGGAGAAGCCATCAACTGATCACGCAGCTGCTGGTTATGATTCCCGCCGGCCGTCACCTGATCCGTCCAACTAATTACCTAGCAGCGGGCTGGACCGGTAATCAACCCTACCCGGCAGGGCGAAAACAAGAAACGGAAATAAAGAAAACAAATCGAAGAAAACAAATCAGAGAGTAGCATACATGTTGAAGAATATAAATATAAATATATATAGAGAGATCTCTATAAGTATAATATATATTACCATCGTAAATATAGATTAAACAATAATCGGGTGGGACGTGTTGTTGTTTTTTTTTTTTTTTAATTTCCTTTTCTTCCTTGTGTGTGTTGATCACTTTCCCAAGTGATACGACCAGAGCGAATCCCCGGCATCCGAATTATCCGGCGAATCATGTATCGACGACGGCGTATCCATCCTGGGCGGGCTGACCATCATCCCTCCGGCCATATCCACCAGCAGATTCGGCATGTTCAGCAGCTCATCCACGTCCATGAACTCCTCCTCCTCCTCCTCCTCCTTCTCCTTGACAACCACCACTTTGATCTCCTCCACGGAGGATGAGGAGGAGGAGGCGGCGGGCGGATGATCAGCGGTACTACTGGCAACGGGAACCGGTTTGGGCAGGCGGGCGAGGGCTGCCTTGGCGGCGGCGGCGCGAATGTCGGAGGCGGAAGGGGAGGCCGGGATAGGGTAGGAGATGATGGAGTTGGGGAAATTGAGCGGGGCGGTGGGACCCTTGAGCGCCAGCGCAGCGACGTCGTACGCCGCGGCCGCCATCTCCGGGGTCGGGTAGGTTCCCAGCCATATCCGGGTCGTCTTCTTGGGCTCCCGGATCTCCGAGACCCACTTCCCGCTCCGGGCCCGGATCCCCCTGTACGCCGGGTGCTTCCCGGAAGAAGGGGAGGTCGGGGAGGAGCAGGGAGTGGTTGTTGTAGTTGCAGCGGCGGTGGTGGTGGTGACAGCTGCTGGCAGAAGCTGGGAAGATGTGATCGAATTTGGGATCGGAATCGGAGTTATGAAAGTGAAGGTAGGAGTTGTAGTTGTTGTTGTTGTTGAAGTGGGAGTTGGAGTAGGGTTAGGGGGAGTAGATTGCGGCGGAGATGGGAGAATGAGCGGCGCCGGCGACGGCGACGGCGGAGGAGGCGGTGGTTGGTTGGATTGGGAGGGCTCACTAGGAGGAGGAAGGGGAAGGTCAGGGCGATTGGCGGCCATGTGATGGACTAGGACAATTTGTTTTCCCCCCACGGTATATATATATATATGGGGAAGAAAAAGGGATTTAAATGTATTTTTATGCTAGAGGGGGGAAAATAAAGAGGTGAAAGGAAGGGACTAAAGAGGTAAATGATGGGAATTGGGAGGGTTTTATTTTTTATTTTTTGAATAATAAGAAAAAGAAAAAAAGAAAAGGATGTCGATGGTTAAGGGGGTGTTTGGTTTTTGACAAAGTTTTAGGAAAAGGGGATTATGATTTATGGGAAAGGGCCAAAGGGGGACAGGACAGAGGGGGTGTGGGGGTGTTTATATTTTTTTTGTTTAGGAAGCAAGTAAAGGGGAGGGTAAATAGCGCGGCAAATTCGCGGGGGGCCGCCTGCGACTTTTTGAAGAAAAGTGATGTGATTGCAACTTTGCCATCTTTCTTTTGGAGTTTTGTGAGGCGACACTCCCCAAACACGTCTTAGATGCTCACAAGTCCACCACAGCACAGAGCACACACACAATCTCCTCGTCCGGCCGTTTGTGTTGTAGGATTAGCTGTAACTTAAATTAGCTGGTGGTGTTTTTGGAACATGGAGGAGTTGGTCATGATATATATGGCACAGCCAACAGTGTCAAGCCGACAACATATTATGTATGGAAATTAATGTATACGAGAGATTGACAAATGACAACCATACCATTTGGCATTTGGGCTGTTCGGCAACAGAGGTAAGAAAGGTTACTCGTGGGCTTGTGTGTGGGTACTGTTGAGCGTGACAACGACGTGGTTCTGTGTTGGTTTCTGTCTTGCTGATCGTAGATTAGAGATGACGGGAATGAGATCGATGGGGGTCGTTTTTTTGCTTTAAGTACACGTATAAGAGTTATCGCGGCTTGTATACACATGGATGAGAACTAACGTCCGTGTTGAGAATGTGAATGGCCTATAAAAGTTAACGAAAGTCTAAAAAATACAATATTAATGAAATCAACATTGTCAAGGGTCTTTTAAGGCTACGTTTCTCTCTATAAGATTGTAGTTTTCTGTGTTATCCATCAAGCGAGTGGGTCGGGGTTCAGAGTATTTTCTTTAGATAATTCATTTTAATTATTTTATAATACCAAAAAACGATGTATAATTGAGCTCAATTTAATAATTCTTATTAAATATAATATTCTGTGTTGGCGGAGTAGTTATCCTCCTAGAACTTGTTTAACAAATTCTTTATAAAAGAAGGAAAATTCGGAAGATTGTGCCCCTATAAAAGAATAGCAGAGCTACCAAAATCTAACCACACAAAATAGAACAGAAAAAAAGAAGAAGTGTTTTCGTAGATCTCTTGGTTTTCGCATCAACAAAGAGAATAGAGAGTTATTGTTTTATCTTGTAGTCCACTGACTGTAACATCCCGAACCTTTTCCCGACCAAGATATCGTCCGCTTTGTGCCTCGACCCTCACGGTTTCTGATTTGGGGTGCAATTCAAGGTGACTTCCCGTAAGGTCACCCATCCTTGTTGTACTCCACATTGAGCACGTTTAACTTCAGATTTCTCACAAGAACTATTCCATTTCACCCCAAAACACGCCTTGTCAATTAAGGTTGGTTTTTTACTTATGAACCATGGATCTCTCTCGTCCTTTTTCGATGTCAGATTTTCCTAAGGTGTTACACTGACTGATAGTATGTTGTGCACAATTACGAGGTAGTGTCGCGAACATCTTAAAGTGAGGGACCTAATTTGCGACTCAGTCAGATTGGTAACCCTAGTTTTCTCGTTTGGTTTCTAACAATTTTAAGATGTTGTGTGTTTGTACATCAGTGCTACATAATAGAATATTGTATCTTGATCTAGCATTATCAATTTTTAGATGTTCTTATCATTGGAGACAAAATATCTTGTTTTACCTTACAATCAAAAAGTTGGCTAACTCGCTAACCTCTATGCCACATGTTTTGCCTGAAGATCCTACTGATGCGGAGAAGTTCATTGTTGGAAATTGAAAGTTGGAGAGAGGATGATTTCTTGTGCAAGAACTAAACCCTTAATGGTCTTGCGGATGTTCTCTACGGCTACTACACTAATTAGAACAATACGACAAAGATGGTGCGGGAAGCTCTCCATAAGAAGTACGAAACTGAGGAGTCTGGAGCCAATAAGTATGATGCCAGCTGCTACCTACGATACTTGATGTTGGACGAAGTGTTGGTTGAAGTTCAATCTTATGAACTCCTAAAGATTGCAAATGAGATATGAGATATATTGGAAGGTATACCTCTTGACAATTAGATTGAAGTTGCTAGTAATGATAAGTTGCATTCTCCGTGGAAAGATTTTAAAAATGCATGTTCTTAGACATAAAAACAAAATAACTTTTGTTGGAAAGTTTGATAACTCGACTTTCGACTGATGAGGATGCTCGCAAACAACATATGAAGTAATGCGTGTTGTTTGTCGGTACTAAGTGACCTACTCCTCATGAGGCTCTGTAACCATACTAGAAATTTTCAACGATCAGAATCGCAAAGTGAACTAGATTCACACCAATCGAAATGGTACTTTTTGTGGTAACAACAAATTCATGGCCTAATCTTCTAAGAATGACACTCCATCTCTCCATTATAATTATGAAAACAAAGTCGTATTGCATGAAAATATAGGAACAAGTCTAGTACTGGTCCTAGTTTAACTTGATTGAAGAAAAGGAGTTGTTAGCTATGGTAAAAGAGATAATAGCTGAAATTAACCTTACTAGTAACTTTGGAGGGTTGTGTTTGGATGTTGGCGACTCGAAGCATGTGTCCAGAAACCGTGTTATGTTCAAGACTTACATTGAAACATATGATGACATGAAAGTGTTATTGGGTACTACCCACACCATTATCGTTTCTTATTCTTTGAGTATGGAATCGAACTTTACCTCTAACAAGACTCTTACTCTCTTAGACGTTTTGTACACTCTAGAAACAAAAACAAAAATCTTATTTCATACTACCTTCATAACAAGGGTGGGTTTCATCAATCTTGTTTGATGCTACCTTCTTAACAAGGTTGGTTTTCATTAATCTTATTCGGAATGCCCACCCCTAATGTCCACCCTATTTGGGGTACGTAGTGCAGGAGTATAATATATATATATATATATATGGTGGCTACTTCGGCGCACTCACTTTTTTGGGTGCACTCAGTGCACCCACTCTAAAAGTGTCCATATTACATGAAATTTTGAACTTTAATTAGTACTCTCAATCTAATATGATGATATGACATAGAATCATAACAAATCAATTTATTACCCTAACCCCTTAACCTTCAATTTTGAATCCCAATCCAAAATCCCAAATTTTAAACCTAATCCCTAACCTTAAATCCCTAAATCCTTCAAATTAAAGTAAATTTTGAATGGATTTTTTTCAAATTCATGTGCTTCTTGTTCATAATATCATAAGCAACAATTGATACCGTTTTGACATGAATCACATGCTCAGAATGACAATTATGAGGCGGGTGTACTGAGTGCACAAAAAAAAGTTGGTGCACTGAATACGCCACCATATATATATATATATATATATATGTGTGTGTGTGTGTGTGTGTGTGTGTGTGGTTCAGGCTAGCGTACGCCCCATTGAGTTTTGCTATATAGATCATGAATTAATCGGAGTTTGGGGCATGATACTATACCCTAACCTCTAATGGTTGAACCCCAGTCCCTAATTTTCTAACCCAAACCATGAGGTTCGTTTAATCATAAAATGAAAACCAATGAAAATTTCGACGAATCAGAATCGTTGATTTTCATTTTTAAGATTAAACGAATCTCATGCTTTGGGTTAGTGAATTGGGGACTGGGATTCACCCATTAGGGGTTAGGGTATAATATCATGTCCCAAACTCCGATTAATTCTTTGTCTAAATAGCAAAACTCAATGGGGCGTACGGTAGGCTAGCGTACGCCCGGACGTACGCTAGCCTTTGCCATATATATATATATATATATATAAAATAAGTGAGTTATTGATATTATTCATTGAATGTTTTTACTTTCTTCTTTAGGGTAGAATGAGTGAATGGGTTCACTACTGATTATGCCTCTAATATGGGGGTTAGCTTCCATTAAAAACAAAAAGCAAAAACTTCATAAAGGTCGACATGCACTCAACTTAAAACTTTTGTTGGTAGTGACTGCCCTTAACCTCCAAATTCACTTGTCTCCCCTTCTGTCATTCTTTCGTTTTCATCATAATATTAATGTTTTCATTTATGCCCACAATGGTAAGTTTTGTATAGTACAAAAGGGTCTGAGACAAACATTTTAAAGGGGCATTAAACCCGGCCCTCGATCGGCTCTCCTTTCTTCTAGTACCTTTGCCAAGGGAGGGCCTGCCTTTTGCCTAGCTAGCTGCTAATTAGGTGTCAGTCTGTTGGCAAATTGTGGTCACCATATAATAGATATTAGTACCTTTAATTAATTAACATTAAACATGCAGAGAGAGGCTGGCTGGGGGTACTACTGTTTGTTTCTGGTAGTGGACATCACTGTTCTTTTCTTCCCTTCTTCTCTTTCTCGATCTGCGCCCTTCCATTGGAATATATATCGATTAATGGTCCTCGATTTCTCAGTTAGCTAGATAGCTGCTAGTATAGTATGGTTATGTTGCTTTGGTCCCCCTCTGTAATGAAGTTTCCTTTGCTGCTGAATTGGAGCTTTCAGACATAGTCTGCTGAAAATCAATAGAGCTTTTGGGAGGGAGGGTATAAGGCAAGTGGGAATGAATGTGTTCTCCTAAGGGTGGTTTGCATATTGGAGTAATTAAATGTTACAGTTGAAGTTTGCAGTTGCCATGATTTCTAGAACAATAATTTGGTCTCAAATATTGGTAGGTTATATGAGATGTGTTGTAAAAAAGTTGTATAGTAATCGATAAGTCAACTTGAACGCGGTATAGGTGATAAATTGAATTGTATCTTTTGAATTATTTTTTTTTATGTTAATCGACTCTGTATCATT